CAGATACATGGCAAGGATAAGCAATAGCTTTGTTTATATGCAAGAACTGAGTTTTTTTTTTAAAAAATGGTTTATCAAGAGTGCAGCATGTGCAGATGCATCTTGCTGCATTGTAATTTCTGCAAGTGGAAGCAACTAAGCAAACCATCCATAGTTTGACTAGTGTTACGTGGGAGCCTGGAATTCTGATTTATTTCTCCTCCAGCAAACCAGAGACCAGACTGTAGGGACAGGTCTGTTAAGAAAACTAACCTCATGAGAGAACAAAATGTTGAGCTATACTTGTTCTTATATATAAGTGAATTTCTGGCCTTATCTGAGACTTTTCCCACATTCCCAGACTTAGTGGAAAAATTCTTTGAGTTTCCATGTGCATTCATGTATTAATATTCAGAGCCATCTTGAATATTGCCAATCTGTTCCAACATGTGTTTTTTAATGAATTGGGTGGAGCTGTTGAATTGAAAAATGAAGAGAAATTCTATATTTTGATACAGCCTTGTACTGCATGTTTTGGATTGTGATAATGAACAATAGGAAATTTCCTGGGTGCAGAATATGTGTAGTTCTACAGGAATAAGGACAGAGGCCCTATGTTGCTAGCAGATGGCACAAATGACATATCAGAAAGGTGAAGTTCTACCTAATTTAAATACATGATGGCCTGCTGTGGAATAGATTCACTGCCTAATTGTTTAAGTATGACTTGGCTTTATAGCTTTTTTTCTTTGGTGAGCAAAATAAGCTGACAATATTCATCCCTATTATGCAGACTTTATTCAGATCTCTGAGCTCTATTGGCTGGTTGTCCTCTTTAATAGTTTGAATTACAGGGGCAAATCCTGCATTTCTAACAAGTATGTGTCACAGTATGAACTAGCTGCCCCATGTCATAAAGTTCAGTAGAACTTCCTACCTATTAGTGAAGCTGGATTGATATTTGGGATAGTCTCATGGTTAGGAATATGCCATTTGCTATACTGCATGCTAAAATTGTTTTTCAAAATTGCAGCTAATGGTTACATGCTTCCTGAAAGGGTTGGAATCAGATATAATTAGCCTGATGTCCCGAAAAACTTACATTAGTTACCTCATTTGCTGCAGTAGGATTGACTAACCTGAATTTTGAGTTGAGATCTGTAAGAGGTTTCCCAACCTGCATTACAACCCTCAAGAAGATTATATCAATGTTAAATTTTAGAACAAGAATCTCTTAAGCACTTGTCCAGGTGTTACAAGGTGGTACACCAAACATTTAAATAATGGTGCTCCATGAAACTCTTTTTGCTGTCTTTATTCTCCTTAGTTTTCTGGAGATAGGTTAGAAACAAGAGTTGTGAATTCCTGTTTTAGCACAATATGAGAACACAATTCAGCCTTATTTTTCCACATTCACTAGATGAATTACTGCAAACCTGGAAACAACACTGAAAAGGATTATATCAAACATACGTTCATGTTAAAGAATGAACCTGTTCTTCAAATGTTTTCCAGTACTGTTTGTTAGGGTAATATGCGACTACTTCAAAATAAATGGCCCAAACTATATGGGTTGCATAAATAAATGATAAAAGGAAGTCTTCTGTATCTTGAGGTGGGACTGGAAAGGGTTTATGTCTGAGACTCTGAAGAACTGCTTTCATCCAGTGCACATGGTACAAAGCTAAGTAAACCACAGTTTTCTCTGCCTTGGTATATTAGCTTCCTATGTTCCTACAGTCCTTCAAACTATATGGAAGCCATTGGCTGTATATGCATTTCAATGTCTAGTGAACTGTATTCTGTCACTGGTTATGGTTGGAACCCTGTAAGGCTTGGGAATTGACAATAACAATGAGCTGAGTGTTGCATGTATTTAATTGTGGGTTGCACATGGATTTATGTGACCTGCTCACTTTCGTGAGCATAAGTTCATTGATACTAGTGCAGCCTTTTTCCAAGTAAAGTTGTCTCCAAAGGTGACATGATTTTATATTTCTTGAAACAGATACTGAAATTTATAACATCCTTCCATGAAAGTGAAACTGGTTTATTAGCTGGCTATTTTTTTGTTGGCACCATAGATCCAATCTGTGATAATGAGAGGTAATGAAGCATAAGTCTTCTGTGGTAGCTCTTGTAAATTAAAAGTCTCCAGAAAGTAACTTTGAAATCCATTAAGTTTCTCTCTTCTCAAGAATTTGTGTTCACTGAAGTGATGTGGGAGATATGTGACATACATGTGATGTTATTTCTAGCCATTTGTTCCAATTTAATATCTCAATCATCAGTGTAAATTCTGTATATGTGGGTGGCTTGGGAGTGGCAATAACCAGAACAGCACCTCCTAAACAGCTGCAAAATTAGCAACATTCTGGGAAAGGGAAATGTAATAAATTTGATTTTTTGTTTTGTTTTCAACTTGTAGAAGGAAAAAAAAAACATTTTAAAGATTACTTTTATGACTTTAAGCCACATGACGTGCAAGACAGTAGTCCTATCAGTAGTGGCTAGGGGAGAAAATTTTATAGCAGGTATCTGTCACAATTACAGTTTCAGTATGTGCAAGCAGGTCATATGTGATGTTATGAGAATGAAGTATTTAGCAGCCCGGCCACCAAATTGGTAAAACCAGACAGTGTTGTGGTTGCAAGTCAATTTTGAGAATCAGAATTCACTGTACTATAAAAATGATTTGGTTTATTCACCTGAGTCTTCATTGCAGGTGACAAATTAATACATGATTCATGGTGCTGGCTGCAGTGACCTCTGAACCTTCTAGTGCTTATACTTTAGTGGTACTTCATGGTAGGCATGTCATGAGGGGAGCTGCCTGGAGCTGAGAGTCAGACTAGATGGCCTGGGAGACCCCTTCTGACTTGCTCTGATTTCTTTGTTTCTAAATTTCAGTAAAAATTAAAATGTATGAATGTATTTTTGTTTTAACTCTGCATACATACTTAATTCATCTATAGTTTGATATAAAATTTGTTTCCTAACTGGTTATAGGATTGACTTTTAATTTAAACTTTTCTGCCCTGCCTTTTGACAAAAAGCCCCCCAAACTACTGTGAAATAGATCTAGAAGTAATAAGGCTTGTTAAACTGCAGCAAGCTTTCCCTCACATTAGACACATGAAGTCATTAATCAAACTAGACTGGCTCAATATACAGCTGTCTATGACAGCCTAAATATGTATTCTCTCCCCTCCCTTCCCAAGTGTATAGTGCACTCTTGTCTTTTCCTACCAGACAAGCAGATTATATATTGCCGTTGTCCCTTTAAAATAAATTTATTGGAAAAATCAAACATTGCATCGAAGTTTAAGTTGGTTGAACTTCCCCAATTTTAAGAAAGTCACCAAAGGATAAATCCCCAGTTCCTAGTTACTGTTAACACTTCTTTGCTATGACACCTTTAGAATCTATTCTTTGTAAGTTTTTCAAGAGCTAGTCCTTGGTCTCTGACTTATTTTTGACTGATTGGGATGATTGAGACCCTGTCTAGCTCTAGTTAGAAAGGATTGTCCTGTCGCACAAGGCACTTAGTGAGCTTGTTGTGAGGAATTGTTTAAGGGTGGTTGTGCTGGAGTCAGTATTTTAAATTTATATATGCAAATAGATCCAGATTTAGCTGGATAAATTCAGTTGATGTCAGCATGCACAATATCCTGGAAATGCTCATAGAGTGAGGGGATACCGCTGACTGGAGTGAGCACTGGTGTTTCTGGGAGGGAAATCACAAACTGAGTTGGGGTTCCTTTTTGCAGGAAGAGGATCACAGCTAGTAATTATGATATACTTTGGCTGTTATTTGGGTTATTGGGAAGAGGGTATTTCTCTCCAGTTTTTGTCGGAATTATTGTCAGATTGCTGCTTTCTGGGTATGAATATAAGATGCTTTTATTAACCTGTTTATATTACACTTTAAATTGTATACTGGCTTGTAATTGTTAGAGAATTATCTTGAAATGTCACTATATTATGTTAATTTCCCTGGTGTTGAGAGCCACTTTGAGCACGGCTACCATTGTTACAAAATGATAATGTCTGCACCCTCATACTGCACAAAATCAAAACTGCTCTATAGCTGCACTATAGCTCTGTGGCACAAAATAAAAGATAACTTGATCGTTGTGGTGTGCAGCGATAAATGAGTTTGGGTTTCCTCAAACCACATTTGGGTTTTCTCAAACCACATTTTAATTTTTGTCCTCCCTTTCAGTCAAGACTGGTTGCTACAAAAGTGCAGTACTTTAGGGATTGATGGGTTATGGATTTATAATTAATGTCAGTCTCTTCTGGTCTCTGACAGCTCAGCTCAGTCTTTTTTCTCTGGAGGGAAGGCGTGGAAGGAGATTTAGGGCCAGGGAAGGTCCTCAGCTCAGTACAAGAGCAGATACTTCAGGATCCATCCTAGGTAGCGCTGGAAAAACTCAGAGCCCCAGATATCCAGATTTGTTATAACGCAACATCTTATGTCCCTATATGTATGAACTATAGGTGGACTTGGACTGGCTCTCAGTGAAGAGTATAAGCTGGAAAAGCAGACTTTCTGATTTGTAGATTCTTTTATATCAGTTCTGATGTCACATCTGAGCACCTGCGATGTACCTTTATATTTGCAAGCAGTGATGCAGATTCCTACAACATGAGGTGCTTTCTTTTTTAAAGAACTCACGGTGGTTTACATCATTCTTCTGCTCTCCAGCTTATCTCTACAACACCCTGTGAGGTAGGTTGGGCTGAGAGTCTGTGACTGCCCCAAAGTCACCCAGTTTTGACTTCAAGCCTAAGCAGGGACTAGAAACCAGATTGCCTGAGTCCCAGACCCATGCTGTTAACCACTGTACCACACTGTCTTTGTCTTTGTATGCTTTCTGCACAGGACCTTGTGTTATGTGTAACTAGGCTTTCCAATGTACAAATCAAAGTTACTATCAGATGACTTTAATCTGAATATATGCTGGTGCTATTTTCTCACTGAAGTTTATTCTTTCTTTTTTATTGGTGGAGAATAGAAGAACTACGGAAGCTGAGTTGGTCAGGAATTCCAAAACCAGTACGGCCAATTACATGGAAACTTCTTTCAGTAAGTATTTCAGTATTGTACAATGATGATAGTGTTGTTTCTGTTGCCACATATAATTTTACTTGAGTCATAGCTAATCAGTAGCACTTCAAAACAGTGTGACACAAAGAATGCTGTTCTATTCTCAATTTCAAGCTTGGCTTGTCATAAAAGAATAGAGTAGTAAATCATGACAAGTGCTAAATTTCTCTTCCCCTACTCCTCCCTGCTAACTCCTGTATGCTCTGTGGTCTTAAACAGAAACTTAGTTCCTTACAGAAAACATATATATTCCATTGTCTGTATGTCTTCCAGTGAGAAAATGTGGTGCTTCTTGATATTGGGGTTCAGCTGAGATTGTGTTTTTGCTTTGGGCTAAAGAGTTCTGTAGTGTTCCCATTTGCATGTATCTGTGGTATGTGCTTGAGAGCATGGAGGTTGCTTCCTCAGCAAATTTTCATGTTAGCTTTTTAACATTCCAAATTACATATCCATCAGTTTAGCACTGTTGAATTTTTCAGAGAAAAGGCTTAAAGCAGCTTTCTGGGTTTTTTCCTTTTTTCTTTTTTGAGCAGGATAACTCTGTAGGGAATGTGAAGTGTTCACTTCTGAAGAGGTCTGATTTCCAGTGTTTAAAAGATTCTTTCTTGCTAATGAGTCATGATAAATTTCCGGGCTTAGTGCTTTCTAATCCAAAATTCAGATGCAGTTCTTAACAGTGAATGTTTAATAAGTAGTCTTGTGCAATTAAAATTAAATATGCAGAATGCAAAAACTGTTTGGAAAAACTATATATTTAAAATGCTGATGTTTCATCCTGAAGTTCAAACTGAGTTTGACACCATCCATTTAAGCTGTGCTATTGGTTGGGAAGAACTGCTATATGCCCCATTGACTGCAAGGTTCTTTCTTTGATTAGATTGGGATGGTTTTTAGGAACCATAGCAGAAGTTATATACATTAGAAAATTTTGTCTTGTCCCTGTTTTCTTGAAGCCATAATGTTTCCTATGCAGAGTCAAACACCTAAGGTGCATTTCTCTTAGAGATGTGCTTAAGAGCTATCATTTAGGGTGATGTTATTTTGCTCCTTGTTCCACAAACATTTGGTTTTAGACAGTATAACTTTTTCAGTTTGCCAAAAAAATAAAATAAAAATCTGAACAGAAACCTAAATTAGAAGGTAGTGGATCTGTCTCTTTGCAATTTACTTTGAAACCTGATTTACAGATTTAGTTGGTAATTAACATGCAATAGGGAGAATTATGATGTCCTAAAAATCAGCAATAAAAATGAACAGTATTAAAATGAGAAAATAATAGTAGTCTGGATAGCCAATAGTTTGACATAAATGTAGTAAAAATATATTTGCTGATTTATCTGAGCATCTGACTTACCCAAAGTGCAGGTGGGTACTTGAAGTGTAATTATAAATATAATATGTTCTGTAGTCACAAGATGATATAATCAAACTTGTAGCTAATATGGGATTTACTACTTGCAAAAATAAAACGTGGTTTCGTGAAAAAACAGAATATTGAACATGTCGGAAAGAAAACCTTAATCTTTAAATCTTTTAGCAGAAAATACGAATATTAAAGGAAAATATTAGTATCCCTGGGACAACTGTATTTAGTTTTATAAATTAAATTGCTTTCTAATAAAACTAATTGTGTCCCATAGAAAATACAAGCTCTTGACATGACATGCAGTTTAAAATTCAATATTTAACCTAACAAAGTGTTGAAAGTATATTAAATATCAGATCATAGTCATAGCCTTCCAATCACAATTCTTTATATTGGCATGGAACATTTGTTCATTGTTTCCGATGCTGGTATGAAAGTACTGGATAAAATGTAGAAACCAAGCTAAGGGAGACTGCCTCCTTTGGTCAAGTTACTGTCCAAGTTCAGGCAAAATGATTTTAGTCTGATAATTAGAGTTTTGCTAATGCACTATTTTCTTAATTTCTCTCTTGTTCAGCAATGCAAATCTTCCAGAGTTTGTTAAATGACCATTTCTGATTATACCTGAATCAGGAAATTGGTGTAATCTTTGTCTACTAACCAGGATTGATCCTGATTGTCCTAGCCTGCTTGGTAAGGAGCGGTTAAATCCCAGTTTTTTTGGTTCAGGTCAAATGGCAAACCATGTTTTCTAACAAAGCATGAAATATTTTGCCAAGAAAGGGAGCAAAGGTATACTTGGGGACAACACTACTCTTGATCCAGTCAATCAAGCTTTCTGTTTTTATTTTATAAAAGGATTGCAAGCTTCTTTTCCTTACAGCTTTTTATGTTGATGTCATGCTATTTGCTCTCCTTGCCAGAACCTCATTCTTGTGTCATAACCTGCCCTGACAAACTCCATTAAATACTATTATAAAAATGCATTTCTTTGCTTTGGTTCTTACATCTGATGAAAGGATGAAGAGTGTGAACAGTTGACCCTTTCATGTTCACATAAAGAACGTTCGTCTCCTTGCTTATAACCACGTGAAAGACTGAAAGAATGGGTGGCATCTCCAAGGATCCAGTGAGCATAGGAAATATTTGCCTTTGATCTGGTCTTTCAGAAATGCAGTTTTAACTTTGAAAGCTTCCCTTTGCTAGGTTTCCCTCAATGTGAATGTACAATACAGGATGAGTTCTCTAAACACCTTCCCTGGGATTTTTGCACTTTACTTTCTGCAGATGACTTTGCAGGGATGCTTTCTGCCTTCCATACACCAGCACTTATTCATGATTGCTTTGCTCCAGATGTGCCTTTTGATTTGCACCAAAGCTTTTTAATAACATGAACTATTATTTGAAACACTACACTTCCCTTGGTTCATAGACTGTATCCTTGTTGTTCTGAAGGTTGCAAACTTTCTGCTAGTGTCTCTGAAACTTTTTTTATTCAGTAGTGTTGATGCTTAGCCATGCATACACAAACATTTACTTAATTCAGGTTAAGTCTCCTTTGACACACATCTCCCAATCTTGTCTTCTTACAGTGGGTGAGGTATCAATCTTGTTCATTCTTCTTCAGAAGTGCTCCTGTGTGTAACATTTTGTTTTACTGCTCTGATGCTTCTCACTTTTCATCTATATTTTGGAGCTTTCATTTTGCTTACAAAAAAGTACTAAGTATTCATCTTGCTAAATAGATGGTGTTAAGGTCTGAGTTTATTGTAGTTGTTTCTGCTGCCCAGAATCAGGTGAGACTGTGCAGCTTCTGGAATTCCTTTTGATATGCCACATTGGCTTTTAATAATCAAAGCATTATTTTCTGGATGCATACTGTCCAATTGCTTGATAAATTGTTCTGGAATTTTTGCTAGTATTGCTATTACACTGACTGGTCTATAATTTCCCAAAGTTGCCCTTTTGAAAATGAGAACTTGATTTACACACCTGCACATTTCCACCATCTCACTCATTCACCAAGAACTCTCCCAGATAACTGCCAGTGGCTCTTTAACATCCTGGGGTCTAATTTATTAGCCCTGGAAAACTGAACTCATTTTTAAAGTAGTTATATTTTATCTAACCATATCCTTGCTTATTCTAGGCTACATCTTCCTCCTTATCCCAAATCAGTTGCTCCAAATTGAACACAATCACTGATTGAGAACACCAAGGCAAGGAGCAGAGCAGCTGCATGTTGTCTGTCTCACTTGTTAACAATTCTTTTATTTTTTTTTTATTTATTTATTAAAACATTTTTATGCCGCCCCATTCGCCGAAGCCTTGGGGCGGCTTACAAACAATAAATCCTTTCTAAGCAGCAAGTTTACCCCTTTCTTTTTCTTCTTCTTCTGGGTGCACCCAAATAATCTGTTTTTGATGATTTAGCATCTCTTGCAAACCCAGCTTTCTGGAACTTATCCCTCCGGGTACGCTCGTTAAAGACCTGTGCTATCCCAATTTTCCCCCTCTTTGGTTGCCTATCCTTCCTTCCTTCCATAGTGCCCTTTAGTTTCAGCATCTTGAGTAGCTACACTGGATGCTTTCGATATCTCTTATTTTCCTTGTCATGTCAATAGCCTGTGCCTTAAATATTTCATTTTTCAGAATCACCTATCCTGTTTGAACTATTCTTTTTTCCTTTCAGAAATTATAGCCTTGATATTCTACCTAACTTTTCTCTGAGTTTTTTTTGAGATCCAGGGTGTATGACCAGCTTTGCTTAGCTTCCATTGACTTCCAAGATGACATGGTCAGTTTCTCCAAGGCACCTGCCACTTTTACTTCATCAACCAGTTCTTTCCTATTGGTCAAGTTTGAATCTAGGACAGCAGATCTTATTCTTTTGACTTCTTAGAAGTGAAGTTTTGAGTAAGGCAAGTCAGAAACTTATTGGATGTTCTCGTCTTCTAGGAATGTGAGGATATTCAAAATTTCCATAATATTACGGCCCACCTCAATGAAAGTCATGTAAGGGTTTTTTTTTTCTTGGTTAACCCTTCCAGGAAATGGTTTCTGTTTGGCTGGGTGTTATGGAATATACTCCCACAACAACATTATGTCTGTTTCTCTTTCCTTCTTTCCTTACCATAGGGGTTTAAACAGAACATCCATTCTCAGTTTTCTGTATTTCCATTCAAATGTATACACTTTATAAATAGTGCTACCTTGCCTCCCTTTCTGCTGGATCTCTTCCTTCTGAAGAAAGTATAAACTTCCATTGCAATATTCCTACCATAAGCCTCATCCCACCAACTCATAATGATACTTGTTAGATATATTGACAGATGCTTGTTAAAATCCTGTATTAGGATTTGAAGTTCATCTTGCTTGTTTTCCATATTCCGTGACTTAGTGTATAGCAGTGATGGTGAACCTTTTAGAGACCAAGTGCCCAAATTGCAACCCAAACCCCACTTATTTATTGCATAGTGCCAACACTGCAGATTAAAATATGCCAGGGGACAGCACAACATTAAAAGAATCTCTGTCTCTTAATTAGAACATCTCTTTGCTAAAACTTAGATATTAAATTTCAATTTTTCATAAGAAAACTCAAAGTTAAAATCTTGTGTTAATAAAAATGAATGTATTAAAACTCATAGCCAGTCCAAGCAAATCTCTCCCTCTCCCTCTCCCTCTCCCTCCCTCCTTGGCAGCACACTGACCAGCCATGCGAAAGCTTGGATGAGTCGCGGCTAATGAGTTGTGGCTCGTGACATTATCACCTGGTGCCGCTACTCCTTTCCGAGCATGTGCATGGCCCCTATGTGCGCTGTTATCCAATGCTCAGCTGTTGGGGTGACTTGGCTCATGTGCCGACAGAGAGGGCTCTGTGTACCCGCTGCAGCACACATGCCATAGGTTCGCCACCACTGATGTATAGATATCTGAAGCCATGGGTGTTGCACCTTCCTAGTTTTCCTGCTGCAACAACCTCCAATTTATTGGGCCTTATAACTTTTGTCTTCCCTTTTCCAGGCTTTTGTTCTTTTACTTGGCTTGTATAACTAGTGAGACAAAGTATAGGACTTGTAAGTAAATGAACTCTTCTGAAGTACTGTACTGCCAGATAAGGGTGTGCATTCTTTTTTTTTAAAATAATGAAAAACAAAAGGAAGTTATTCCATCCACTTTTGTTCATTTTATGGTGAAAATGAATAGGGAAAAATTAAAATGCATTTATTTATTATTACTGTAAGTTGAAGATGTCATTTTCTGTTTCGGATACATTTGTACCTACATTCCTAGCTTCATAACCCATGGCTTTTGAAGTGGGGAGTGAGAATTGGGCTGCCAAATCTTCTCTCTTTACCAAGCCAAAGCTGCATGTGACTGGAGGGGACCATGGTTTGTCCTAAACCACAGTTGCATGTTGTAGACATAAGGGGAAAATTAAGTTTAAAACAAGCCAGGATCTCAGCATCAAATCTGGCATTAGGAAGAAAGGAGGAATGTGGATGAGTGAAATGTGTGAGAATGGATGTGTGAAATAAACCATATTCTGGAGCAGTTCACGAGGAGGGCAGGAGATCAGGTGAATGAGAGTAGTGAAAATGATGGATTTTAAGTTGCATTGTGCCTGCATGCATGTTCTTTAAAAGTGCCTATAAATTGCAGATCAGTTATCCAGTATGATGTCTTGAGGGGGAGTAGTAGAATGTCTGAATAAGAAGCAGCAAACTTGCAAGTAGCAGTACACAGGCTGTATCTTCATTGATACGTAAAACCAATGCAATTCAAATGTGAAACAAATTAAAACTTGAAAATGAATTGGAGACAAAACCCTCTTTTACACTGCTGCCAGGCTGCCTTTGAACTGACTGAAATAAATTTTGGAGCATATGAAGTAACTGTTCTGAAGTCTTTTCACAAAGTATTGATAAACACATATGCTACAACTTTGAATGTGTCTCTTTTTCTAGGGTTACCTTCCTGGAAATGTAGATCGAAGAGAAGGCACTCTACAAAGAAAACGAAAAGAGTACTTTGCCTTTGTTGAACAATATTATGACTCGAGAAATGAAGAAACGCATCAGGATACATACAGACAGGTTAAAGAGTTGAAAAATGTCTGCTGTAAGCTTGACTTTGCCCATGAGTTTAACACTTCTGCACTGTTTTGCTAGGCATATTATTGGATGGCAAGTATATCCACATGGCATTTTCTGCAGATATTGTTCCAATATGCTTGTGCATATTAATTACATGCATTTAGTCACATGTCTCTTGAGAACAAGTAGGTTAATTCAATAGTATGAAACTTTTAATCTTTTCTAATGCTCATTTTGATATTATATCACATCATTCCTAATGTAGGTATTAATATTTTAATGTTGGACTTCTGTTAGAGAGAGCTCCTGGAGATCAACGTTTTTGTCTTTGGTTGTAGTATTCTTGTTGTAGACATGAGGGTTTATCATTGTTCCAACATCACACTGGATCCATTAAGCGCCATTGAACCAGGCTGTCCAACTTTAATCCCTCCCCCTGGGACTGTACTATAATTGATTTCTTTTTACCTTAATTTCCTTTCCCAGTTTGCAGTTAACCTTGGTTGTGGCCTCTGCAAGTTCTTGGAACAATGTTTTCCATATCTTCTACTTTCAGGGGATACTTTGAAACTAAAAATTTGTGAATATCTGGGTGCAAGCCATAGGATCCCATGGATTTCAGAGAATGTTTTAGCATTTAGTTCACTGTGCATTTAGTTTGTATAGAGCACTGACCAAACAAGGTGCAGAGGCCTAGTTCTGTTATCCTACCTTCCTATTTTGAAAGCCTAATGCACCTTTAACTTCTGTAAAGTATACCCTATCAGCAAAGAAGGTGCACTGTGAACCTGATCCTATATTAATTCTTCTGTAAATCCAAACTTCCATTCCACTTCTGGATCTGTGCTTTATGCATGTGTAATGCTTCTGAAGAAATTTTTGTAGACAACAGTTTTTTTCCTCACTTTATTAGAACAAGAGAGCCGATTAAGACAATCTTTCCAGAGTGGCAACAAACTGGGTTTAATAAAGTTCAAACCATTATAAAGTATAACACAAGAAATAATGATTCCATAGCTTTGTACTGTAGAAGTGCCATAGATATAGAAAGGAAATAGCATGTAGACAGGGGTCATATTAAGCTTTTCCCCATTTTGAGGATAATGATTGAACAGTATTAAGTAGTTTATACAATTTGAGTTGTGGTATATCCAGTACTCACAGTACAGAAAGTTCTCTGTAGGTAATATGTTCTAATTGGTTTAAAACCTTTACTTCTTAAAAAGGTTTATGGTGCAGCCTTGTAAAGAGAGCCAGGTAAATTGGAAGCCTAGAAAGTTGCATTTTTTCCCACTATTTTAATGAAAACCAAGTTGATAACTGCAGCTTTGTGGAAGTACTTTATATCTATTGCAAGTTTTTGAATTTAAACATTTCTCTTCCAGATTCATATAGATATTCCTCGTATGAGTCCAGAAGCTTTAATTCTTCAACCCAAAGTAACAGAGGCAAGTGCTACTGCCAGCTATTACATCCAGTTATCTGATTTGTTTCTGTATGTATTAAGTCAGAGAATATGTTATATTTGCCCTAGAGAAACTACTCTGGACAGTGCCTTCTCTTGGCAAGCAGTCACTGCTAAGTTGAAATGGTTGCCACTATTAACAATATGATTAAATATATTGTGCTGTGATTTTTCTATCTTTATTCTGTGTTTATGGTGTGAAAATCTGGCTAGTGTTTGCTCTCCAAAGGATGCTCTTTCAGAAGTATTTCCCTTGGTGACTGTAGTATGTACTCTGGGCTCCAGTTGTATGTTACAGTGACATATAAAGCTGATGTGCAACAAAGCTAAAACAACCTTGAATTTGTTTTATGATGCAGTTCCCTTTTCCTGCTTCTGGAACGAACATTTTCATTTTTGCCTTTTTACTTAGCCTTTATTTAGTCTGTTAACAACATAAGGAAGACTGCCCCTTCTCCCATTGCACTTCTGGTAATTGTTTATGAAAATTAAATTCTTTTGTATTTTTTGAAGTTTATTTAGGAATGGACCAGACTGTGGAATGTACAGTCACTATGGGAGTGGGTTCATTTTAGGGAGCGTATGTAATGCATCCTACAATTGGCACAAATTTAAACATTTCACTTTCAGATTCATGTAGATATTCCTTGAATACCACCTGAAAAATGTCATCTGAACAACACCATAGGTTAATCGTAGGTTAACTGTGGCTTGTTTAATCCAAACTTAACTCCTAGTATCTGTGTTCAAATGGAGGAGACACTTGAGGGCTTTGCACAACAAAAATACATATGGTGCACAATAAAACTGTGCAAGATGGTCTTGCATTTAGGAAGTATTAACTAGTTTCCAAGCTTCCTGTTTTGCAGCAACAAAAGTTAGAAGCTTTGCAAATAAATAGAAGTGAAATTACTCAGGACTAGAGGTCATATTCCATGTTTTTCTGTATTGTCATGGCAACAAAACTTCCTATATTTCTCCAATGTAATCTCTGTTGCACTGTATACAATTATTGAAGTAACTTTATTGAGATGTAAATCTCAAAAGGGAATCTTGCAGAAAACCATTCGTATTTCTTAGAAATATGACTATTTACAATGGTGCTGGAGGTGGGAAAAAGTGACTAGGATCCTGAAGGGCTTAAACAGCTTTTTTGTTCCTTCTAAATGGCAAAAAGTGCCAATCTGAAACTTAGGGGTTTGCAAAAACTATTTCATATGGCATGAGAGTCTTTTTTTTTTTTAAGATAAAAGACCTCTGGATATTTCTAATTGCTTGTGTAAATCTAAAGGAGTTCTTTGGATCCTGACCATGAAGTGTAGGAAGATAAACACATCTTACTGTTTTGCAAATGCCTCACTTTTTCAGCTTAACTTTTCTACAAATATGACTTTAGAATATATGAGTAATTCTTAAACATTTTCTTTAAATTACTAAGAAACTGACCAATGATTATGCATGCTGTTCACTTATGTTTTACTGTCAGCACATATTGTGACCTCTGGTTACATTGTGTTACAATTTTTTTCCTTTCCCCCCAGATCTTTGAAAGAATTTTGTTCATCTGGGCAATACGTCATCCAGCCAGTGGATATGTTCAGGGCATCAATGACCTTGTTACTCCTTTTTTTGTTGTCTTCACTTGTGAATATATTGGTAAGACAGTTCACAGTGTGTATACCAATGTAATCTGATAGTTTAAGAATATCACTGTATAGTTTTAACAATTAGCTGAGTTACATTTTTAAAGATTTTCCAGAACAATTTAATGTGGGCTGGGAAAAGCCTTGTATTTCATGAATGGTATTTTGTAGACACCTAGCCATAGTTAGTATATCACTAACCCCTTTGATTCTCATCCCCCCCCCCCGATATGCTGTATTTTAACTGTAAGTTTCTTGACTTTACATGTCTCATCAATATTATAAATTCAATTGATTTTGTTTCTTAAAGGACAGATTACCCTTGAATGGATGAAAGAGTGCCCATTTAGTGACTTGCATGGAAACACCTCTTTTTCTCTGCTTCAGTTCATGGAAGTCCTTTTCCCCATACTGAGCAACTAATGAGAATTACTGTTGCTTGCTCCCCTAATAATCTTTTAAGTAGGATAGGGGTGTACTCTAGAGAGTGTTTACAGTCTCTGCCTCTTACTCCCTCATTTGACAGATAATGAAAATGTTCCTAATGAGGCTAGAACAGTAGGATCTGTGCTGGTATACTTTAGAGTTGTTAATTGAAATAAGTTTAAATGAGATGTGATTAGGGGATTGATATTCCATGTTAAATAGACCATTTAATTAATATAGTAAATACGTTTGTCTTAAATACTTTACTACCAATTTACATTGCAAGCCCTAAGTGAGTTGACTGTATTTTCTGAAATTTGCTGTCAACAGACGAGAAAGTAACTATCAAAAGATCTCCTGTGACAATACTTCTGAAAGGTTGTCAGTAACTTATCCTCAGAGTAGAAGTTGTTGTATTTCTCTAGTACACAGGTGCATAGTGGAGGACTTGCTTATACAACTAGTCTTCCTATTACGTTTTGTGTCTCATCCCTCACTATAAGTTTCTGCAAGCTATAAACTCTTGGTAGTTCAGTGGATAAAAGCTGTTTTGGCTGACTAAAGTAATGGGGAAAATTACTGCCTAATAAATGAGAAGATCTTGAGAAAATTGGATATCAAAGTGGCATGTATTAGTCTGGAAAATCCAAGTCAGATGCTAGGTTAGAGTTGCTTCTTCATATTGAGTGCTATGCTTTTAGTGTAGCAACTTTCAGATAAGCACAGAGGCAAGACTTGGCTTCTTCAGTGATGGCCAGAATTTGATAAAGTCTGCTTCTGAAGGAAGTCACACAATCATGTGCACAGATTGCAGGACTGTAGCTGCTTGAAAATTCAGTTCCACTTCGCAAGCCATTCATATGAAATAGTTCTAATGTAGATCAAATGATTTTCATCTTTGATGCTCACTTAGGAACAGCAAACTGTTTCAAGGAAAGGGGCAGGGCCTGCTTTGATAGAATCTGCATCAGGGTTATGTTTCACTTGCTAGAAGAGTTTGCTGAGAATTTAGGAGGTCCTATAGGTTTTTGAGTATGACACTTTCACCTATCTGATAGTGGTTTAAGTAATTACAGATAATTTTCTAGTGAAAAGTCACAATATTATAGCTTATTCTTCCCCAACTCCAAAAGCCTTCTGAATCCTGTTAGAAGGAAATACATATTATTGTGTCAGTTATTTTAATTCCATTTGTAAATTTTATACTTGATCTGCAAGGAGCAAGTACCACATTTTTCCATGTATAAAAAACTACTTTTTCTTAAAAACATTTACTTAAAATGGAGGTGCATCTTATACACTGGGGGTTGTGAGCGCACTGGGGGGGAGACTGGCGTGCGTGGTGGGGTGGTGAGTGTGGGAGGGGGGCATGTGGGGGGTGGTGTGGGGGGCGAGTACGGGGGGGTGGCGCACGCGGGCAGGGGGCGGCAGCAGCTGGAGATGGGTAGGAAAAGTGGGGGGTGTCCTATACATCAGGGTATCTTAAAATACGGTAAATATAATAATTCTCTATGAACTGTCACAGTTTTCTATTACATTTGCCTTAATAAGGAAGCAGATGTTCACCAACAGCTTAGCCAATGTACTTAAATTCAGGAATCCCAGATTCCAACCGTTGTTGAGTAATAAAGTCTCTATAGGGCCTTGGACAAGTCACTATTTTTCAGCCTAACCTGTGAGAAGAGTACAAGAAGTGGAATAATTGGCTAAAGTTACAGGAAACCAGATTCCTGCTGAACATTGAGAAAAACTTTCTGTTAGAGCCGTATGACAATGGAACCAATTATTTAGGAAGGTCATGGGCTTTCCTACACTAGAGGTATTCAAGATGCAGCTGACAGCCATCTGTTCGTAATGCCTTGGAGTCTAGTGTTTGAGCAGATCATTTGACCTGATTGTCTTATTGGCCCCTTCCAATTCTAGTATTCACTAATTCTACTATTTTGAATCTGACATGCTGCTCTGAGATTTTTTGGTGGGAAAGGAGTGCCAGTATCTTTCTAAAAGGGGTGGGACTGACAGTAATCCATAACTGCTATTCCCTTCATGGATACTTTAATTCTTTGTCCTCTTCAAGCATGCAAAAGTAGTTTATATTCATGGACATTAGTGAAGGTCTGAATAGTTAGTGTCCTTTCATAATTTGATTGTTCAGAGGCTTCAGGACACCTATATGGGACTGATACATGTAGCAGTAGCACTGTCATCTGTTCTCGATAGGCCCTTAAATATATTTCCTACCACAATATCTAAAATTTCAGCTACCATTTCCAAGTCTGTATATAGTGCAATGCAATGTAATATCGTGCAATGGAATGTTTTCAATCTTCTGAAAAGGAATGGGGCTATCTTTTTGTTGTTGTTGTTGAAGGAGTTGTACTAATATTTTAAATTTAGGTAATTTGTTAAATGTTTTCTCAGATTGTGACTCTGGATAGGTTTATACTGCTGGGGAAAGACAGTAAACCACTATAGCTTATCTTTTCCCTGATCCTCTGAATTCAGTCATTGTTTCATTCCTATTTTAATGAATTTTCAAATTTCCTATTATAAATAGAAATTCCAGTGAATATTTCCAAACATAATCAACAAAGACAAAGTTGGTCTTTTAACTACTGTGTTAATAATAGAGTATTTACATGATCGGTAAATTTTTATTGGCCCATTGGGAGATAGCAAGACACCAATGCATGCATGGCATTTACTCTTAAATGCATTTCAGTTGTATAGGCATATCAGATATGCCTTTTTCAGATATGCCAATTATCAGCATGTAAATTAAAGTTGGATGACATGCCCAAGTGGATAAGCTATCATAGTGACCATGTTGCTACATTAGAGTTTTAAGAAGATGATCTTGTAACTATTTACAGTTAATTTGAATTTGATTGCTTTCTGTTTTTTCTGTATCAAGTTTGTTTTCTGTTTTTCCTCATCTGTTAAATCTTAAAGAATTGAGAATATTTATTTGCAGTCAAGATGCCTTTGAGTTTTTGGTTACCTGAACCAATGGTTCTCAGCACAGGCCCTATGGTTCTGCAAGTGACCATGTTGTATTTCTAGCTGGGGCACAATTCATTCCTGAGGGAACCATCCAAATTTGGTGCCAGGCATGTTATCAATTCGATGCCGCATCTTGTATAATCTATGTCCTAGAGTAAATCCTGTCTGTTACTGTACTTCAGATCATCTTTTAAAATGTCCAGGTTTTAATCAGCCTTTTGTCAGAAGTCTTGTATTTTGAAATTTACTTTTACTTATTTGATCATTGTGGTTTTGTAGTTACCAACATTCTTATGAAAGTATGAGAGAGAGTACTCAATTGGAATATATGCAGGATGTAAATTTCTAAAATAGAAATACATTTTGTGTACCTATTGAAGGCTATAATATGTGCTTGAAATTCTGCTTTAAAATGTGCTCATCTTTCCATGATTTTGTGGTATCTGCTATTGTAATATAATTAATATTTGTTGCTAATCATAGCTATTATCATAATTATTCTGATGGCTACAACCTTAGAAATCTAGTAGCAACTAGGGTAGCTTCTAAGTGATATACTTTTAAAAAGTCTTCATTTCTGCATAGGAGTGATAGGAAAATGTAGGTATTTTTTTGTTCTTGGTTACAGCCATATCTGCCAAGCAAAGGATTTACTCATTTGTTAATTTTCCATTAGTGGCTCTGGCCAATAAAGGACAGATTAGCCATAAGTTGGACTTCAGCCTGCTGTGCTATAGTAATTCAAAAGGCACTTGGCTGAGTGCATGTTATATTTATAGCAGAGTAATATGCTCTCATTGAGCATTGCAGACTTCTGTGTTGCTTCATTTTGTCTGTCTGCTGTGCTTGTTCTTCTTTAGTATGTCCAGATTTGTAGCAATCATAAGTTCAGTTACTTTAGAATTTTCTTTGAGCAATGCGTTTTCTCTAGAGATTAATTTTGCAGTTAATGTGTGACCTGGCTGGTCAGTGTACACAGGTGCAGCTCTCTATCATAAGGGAAGCATGCTTTTCCATAGTTGCGGCTTGTGCCAATGACAGGCCTAGGTCTCTTGCTACATTCTCAGTGCAACTTAATTCCTGGGGATGGCAGAGATGCAAAATGAAACACATTTTGAGATATTTGAACTGGCTTGAGGTGTTGGCAAAAGTTCAAAAGGATAAAACAGTTGGTTTGTATTCTGAAACAGTGCATTTAAAGGTACAGTGTCCAAATCGGACTTCTGCGGCCAACAGGAGTAAGTTCAAGAGCCATAGCAACATGTTCTGTTTTCTGATGAATCAGATTCATAGCATGCATGAAGCTTGCCTGGGAACATAACTCTTCTGGGGAAACAGGTTGTTTTTGCAAAAGTTCAATTAGGCACATGGACATACTAAAGGATCATTTGAACTGGGACTACTCCCATTGTTGCCTAGGCCAGAACTGAAACCAGAATTTACTGAAGGTTAAGAACTTAAGAATTCATTGTGTTAAATAGTTTAAATACACATATGCTAAAAGGTTCTGTTTGAGCTTGGTAAGATTTCAGTAAAGCCCATGTGGCCTTTAGAAAAGCTGTTGCTTCCAAATGCCACTCTTTA